CAAAAAAAAGTGTCACGGTTTCATGGCGGTTGTAGAGGGCGAAGAGAGCTTTGATCAGACGGATTGGTGTCGTAATGGGGCCCATCAGCCGTTAGATCGCAGCTCTCTTCGTACTCTACGACCGCCACGAATTTAGCGACAACTTTTGGTGTCGTAACGGGGCCAGCCCATCAGAGGTTATATCGAAGCTCTCTTCACGCTCTACCACCGCCACTAGAATGGCGACAACGTTTGATGTCGAAATAGCGCCCATCAGCCATTAGATCGAAGCTCTCTTCGCGCTCTACAACCGCCCCGGGAAGGGCGACAAATGTTGGTGTCGTAACTGGGACCATCAGCAGTTAGATCGAAGCTCTCTTCACGATCTACTACTGGCAAGGGAACGGCGACAACTTTTTATGTCGTAACGGGTCCCATAATCCGTTAGATCAAAGCTCTCTTCCCCCTCTACAACCGCCACGAATTTAGTGACAACTTTTGGTGTCGTAACGGGCCCCATAATCCGTGAGATCAGGGCTCTCTTCCCACTCTCCACCCGCCACGGGAACGGTGAAACTTTTGGTGTCGTAACGGGCCCCATAATCCGTGAGATCAGGGCTCTCTTCCCACTCTCCACCCGCCACGGGAACGGTGAAACTTTTGGTGTCGTAACGGGCCCCATAATCCGTGAGATCAGGGCTCTCTTCCCACTCTCCACCCGCCACGGGAACGGTGAAACTTTTGGTGTCGTAACGGGCCCCATAATCCGTGAGATCAGGGCTCTCTTCCCACTCTCCACCCGCCACGGGAACGGTGAAACTTTTGGTGTCGTAACGGGCCCCATAATCCGTGAGATCAGGGCTCTCTTCCCACTCTCCACCCGCCACGGGAACGGTGAAACTTTTGGTGTCGTAACGGGCCCCATAATCCGTGAGATCAGGGCTCTCTTCCCACTCTCCACCCGCCACGGGAACGGTGAAACTTTTGGTGTCGTAACGGGCCCCATAATCCGTGAGATCAGGGCTCTCTTCCCACTCTCCACCCGCCACGGGAACGGTGAAACTTTTGGTGTCGTAACGGGCCCCATAATCCGTGAGATCAGGGCTCTCTTCCCACTCTCCACCCGCCACGGGAACGGTGAAACTTTTGGTGTCGTAACGGGCCCCATAATCCGTGAGATCAGGGCTCTCTTCCCACTCTCCACCCGCCACGGGAACGGTGAAACTTTTGGTGTCGTAACGGGCCCCATAATCCGTGAGATCAGGGCTCTCTTCCCACTCTCCACCCGCCACGGGAACGGTGAAACTTTTGGTGTCGTAACGGGCCCCATAATCCGTGAGATCAGGGCTCTCTTCCCACTCTCCACCCGCCACGGGAACGGTGAAACTTTTGGTGTCGTAACGGGCCCCATAATCCGTGAGATCAGGGCTCTCTTCCCACTCTCCACCCGCCACGGGAACGGTGAAACTTTTGGTGTCGTAACGGGCCCCATAATCCGTGAGATCAGGGCTCTCTTCCCACTCTCCACCCGCCACGGGAACGGTGAAACTTTTGGTGTCGTAACGGGCCCCATAATCCGTGAGATCAGGGCTCTCTTCCCACTCTCCACCCGCCACGGGAACGGTGAAACTTTTGGTGTCGTAACGGGCCCCATAATCCGTGAGATCAGGGCTCTCTTCACACTCTACAACCGCCACGAATTTAGCGACAACTTTTTGTGTCGTAATGGAGCCGGCCCGTCAGAGGTTATATCGAAGCTCTCTTCGCACTCTACGACTGCCACGGGAGCGGTGAAAATCTATGGTGTCGTAACGGGGCCCATAATCCGTGAGATCAAGGCTCTCTTCACACTCTACAACCGCCACGGGAACGGCGACAACTTTTGGTCTCGTAATTGGGCCCATCAGCCATTAGATCGAACCTCACTTCGCGATCTACAGGTGCCACATTTTCGGTGAAAACTTTTGGTGTCCTAACGGGGCCCACCAGGTGTTAGATCGAAGCTCTCTTCACGCCCTACAACCGCCACGGGAACGATGACAACTTTTGGTGTTGAAATGGGGCCCATCAGCGGTTTGATCGAAGCACTCTTCGTGATCTACAACTGCCACGGGAACGGTGAAACTTTTGGTGTCGTAACGGGGTTTAGGGTTTAGGGTTTAGGTGTTTTAGGTTTTTTAGGGTTTAGGGTTTAGGGTTTAGGGTTTAGGTGTTTTAGGTTTTTTAGGGTTTAGGGTTTAGGGTTTAGGGTTTATGGTTTAGGGTTTAGGGTTTAGGGTTTAGGGTTTAGGGTTTAGGGTTTAGGGTTTAGGGTTTAGGGTTTAGGGTTGAGGGGTTTGGGGTTTGGGGTTTGGGGTTTGGGGTTTGGGGTTTGGGGTTTGGGGTTTGGGGTTTGGGGTTTGGGGTTTAGGGTTTAGGGTTAAGGGTTAAGGGTTTAGGGTTCAGGGTTCAGGGCTAAGGGCTAAGGGCTCAGGGCTCAGGGCTCAGGGTTCGGTGTTCGGTGTTCAGGGTTCAGGGTTTAGAGTTCTGGGTTCGGGGTTAACAGTTTAGGGTTCAGGGTTCAGGGTTCAAGGTTCAGGGTTCAGGGTTCAGGGTTCAGGGTCAGGGTTCAGGGTTCAGCGTTCAGCGTTCACGGTTCAAGGTTCAGGGCTCAGGACTATGGGCCCAGGGTTCAGGGCTAAGGGCTCAGGGTTCAGGTTTCAGGGTTCAAGGTTCATGGTTCAGGGCTCAGGGTTAAGTGTTTAGGGTTCAGGGTTTGGGGTTTGGGGTTCAGGGTTCGGGGTTCAGGGTTCGACGTTCAGGGTTCAGAGTTCATGGTTCACAATTCGGGGTTCACGGTTCACGGTTCAGGGTTCACAGTTCACAGTTCAGGGCTCAGGGTTCAGGGTTCAGGGTTCAGGGTTCAAGGCTCAGGGTTCAGGGTTCAGGGTTTAAGGTCCATGGTTCAGGGTTCAGCGTTCAGGGTTCAGGGTTGGGGGTTAGGGGGTTAAGGGGTTTAGGGTGTTTAGGGTTTAGGGTTTAGGGTTTAGGGTTCGGGGTTGAGGGTTCGGGGTTTGGGGTTCGGCGTTCGGGGTTTAGGGTTTAGGGTTTAGGGTTTGGGGTT